CATAAGCCAGATTTAGCTTAGCTTCGATTACGTTGAGTCTTGCGACAGTGATGTAGTTCCTTTATAGTGGAAGTATCTATATGTTTGTTTGCCACAAATCTTATTTTTTTGCAATATTCCAAAAAAACAATATCAAATCCCATTGCTTTTTGTCAAGGGAGCTCATGCGATGCTAACTTCCTGGTCGGCCTACAAACATACATCATCACTGCACCACTCCATTACATTTCCATCAACCACCAACAAAAGTGGAACATCTTGAGCGACCACATCACCGATCAACCCATGAGGGTCACACAAAGAGTCACAAGGAGTAATCAAGCCAGCAGCTAAAACAAGAATACAAAGCAAAAGCAATAATTCAAGAAATCTAGAAGGACAAAGAGGAATAAAATAGAAGAAGCAGGAACTGACCAGTCTGGTGACGAGGGGAACCCCGAAGTGCCAGAAGTGCTCGTTGAGCAACCCGCTGTAGACCACGTTACCAAACAGAGCAATGGTTCCTGGTTTGCACAGACCACTTCCTGGCTTGGTTTCTGCAAAATAAGAGAGAGTCAATTACAAATATAAAACATTATATTCATTTCAAACAGACACAGGCTACTCTTTCTTTATTCCCAAATACTAACCCTCGATCACTTCCTACCTCACTTCAATCAGACACAACCTTGTCCAGTTCATTTAAAAAAAGATCTAAAGAGGACTATAGGATGATAAGGATGGTTAGAAAAATACAAGTCAGAATAGCATTTGGTCAAATTGGCACGTTTAGCCTTTACAGCAGGGGTGTCAAACTCAATTTCATCGCGGGCCACATTAACATTATGGTTGCATTCAAAGGGCCGGTTGTAACTTTAAGGCTATATAAAAATACATATATAAATATTTAATATATATAAAATAACGTATTATATTACATTATTGCCTCTGCATTGGATTATTTTCGGATAGGGTAATAACTTCATAATTAACTACGTCTGAAAGAAGAAGTCGAGGGCAAATCATTGCAAGTCTTTTCAGTGAGAACGTGACAAAATGATTTAAAAAGAAAAGCCAAATTCTGGAAAAAAAAGGAAGTGACATTTTGAAAAAAAAGTAACATTTTGTAAAAAAGTCAAATTCTGAGAAAAAAGTCAAATTTGAGATGCATTGTGGGACATGTAGTTTATGGGCAACGTGCTTCTGTAAATCGGCATGTAACCGTATAATAAACATATTATATTCTTTGCAAGCTCTTGTGGGGCCACAGAAAATGAAGTCACAGGCCGGATTTGGCCCCCGGGCCTTGAGTAAAGATATGAAAGGGGGAGATGGAGCAGATGACATGGGTGAAGGATGTACAGGCCGGATTAGAACATGTGATCGACATAACCTCTAACATATAAGTTATGCACTGGCCCATATAATGCTGTTTTCTATTTGAGTTTCAGGAAAAAGTGTCCATGATTAAACAATATAAAGGTGTTGACAAAAAGGAGCTATAATAGCTTAATGGGCAATACTGGAATTGTATAGAAAGAGAAATAACAAAATACAATGAATGAAGTATAACATATGCATGCATAAACAAAATACATCATATCAGCAAACCTTATATAAAGAATAATCTAGAGAATAATATAACATGTCTCATAAACTTCCATAATAGTAAAGAGAGTAATAGCTATATAAAACGACTACAGCTACAATTCACTCTCTTTACATTAACACAGTATTTACAGATAATGTGATGTTCACTTTGTTTTATGGGCTTTTATAGTATATGTTATATTGTTGCATCGACTCAGTTGTCTTGTGTCTTATCTGTCAGAAAGAATAATTTATTTTATTTTTATGATCATACATGTTACCTCCTTCTGTCTATTAACCTGATCAAATGTTATACTTTGCTGAATGTACCTTTTAAAGTTCTTAACAAATCATTTCTTGTTGTTTATTTTGAACTTGTGATGTGTCATTTTGTAAAGCACTTTGAGCTGCACATGTTGTATGAAAAGTGCTATATAAATAAAGCTTTATCCTAAGTTACCGCTAATGCTGACATTCAACTTCCTGTCCAGGGATAAAGCGTCAGGATGCCTTTATTGTGAAACGCGACAGTACAGACATGCTACTTCCGGTCATCGAGTTAGCGAAGCAATTAGCATAACAGGTAGCAGTAAAACACCTCGCATTTAGCCAACACATTAACACCTAACCACATATTCAACAGCTTACAACATTTATAACAACTTTATGGAACTTGACATAGCATATCTAGTTCGAAAGCATTGAGTCGCGTGCCAACTCACTTAACTATGGTGCATAACGAGCCTTAATTAGCGATATCGCACGGAGCACGGAGACTCCACATTACCAGCCACTGTGGCAACAGAAGTTATCATAACTACGGAAATACAAAACAATTCTACATGACGAGCAATACTGTGGACAAATACTCACGTTTCATTTGCGCACACGTCACTTTTGATAACACTTAATGCACTGCTGCACAACTTCTTCATCACTTCACTTTCACTGAAGCCCATTACCTTTCTGACGTCTGACGTCACCTATGAGACGTTGTAGCCCCTCCCACTATGATAACCATCACTTAATAAACAGATATGAACTCTCAGTGGTGACTAAAGTAGATTTACTCAAGTACTATACTTAAGTACCATTTTGAGAGACTTAAACTTTACTTGAGTATTTCATTTTTGTTGCTACTTTTACTTCTACCCCACTACAATTCCGAGGTAAACCGTGTACTTTTACTCCACTACATGTATGTAATACCTTTAGTTACTTTACAGATGTGGATGAATGATGTGAAATATAATCAAGTGTTAAATCAGACTTTAGTTCCACCTGGAGTAAATTCACAAGCTTCCCTGCAGTATACAAAGTCATTCAAACTAGCTGCACCTTTACCAGCTTTGAGAACACTTTCATGATCAATCATTACAATCAAAAAATATCAGTTGCATTATTCTGAAATGGGCAGATCTGCATAATGAGTACTTTTGGTACTTTAAGTATGTTTTGATGATAACACTTTTGTACTTTTACTTGAGTAACCTTTTATTCCTCTGATAGTTCTACTTTTACTTCAGTACAATATCTGAGTATTCCTACCACCTCTGAAATTAACTGAATGAAAAAAAATATAGAACAATAATTACTTTGGGGGCTTTTCTACAGTCTGGGGCAAAATTAAATAAAAATCTGCTTAAAGATTGTGTGTCAACACTTTGAAAAACTATCTGAATCACCCTACCCAAATGACATACTGAGGGTTACTATTAAAGGTGTCTCAACTGAAAACATGAATGCAACACTGAATATAAATTGTATCCATCTAATCAGAAATACAAGGTCCCACAATTGAATATGTTTGGACTGAACCACTACTTTGTGCACCAGTCACTCAAATCAAATGTACATTGAAGAGTCTCAACGTAAATACATTGTATCATAAGTCGATCGTACAGAAAATGTCATGTCCATACAACAAATGCGTCGTAAAAGTGATCGAAATCAGGTCAATTTGCCATATTGTCTTCAGGGATAGTTATGTTATCTTAAAAATCTGTTTATTTGGTTCATGTCTTATATTTTGTCCTTGCTCATTTTGAAAATGGGAACTACTGTGAAGCAAACAAATGTCAGACTTGGTGTTACAATAAAATGTTTTCCTATTGTATGAAGCTGGTTGGAAATGTCTAACCATTCCAACCCAATGGAAAGTCCTGCTCTCTTGGCTACAATCAAAAAGTGTCATCAACACCTGCAACATTTTTTAGTTATATTATTACTGCAGAAATGTGAATGCTGTTTATATTTACAAGTTATGTATTTATATCTTAATAATACATGTGTTTGCATCTCTTTTTTAGGAGTGCTGTCAGGTCAAACTAGGATAAATGAAAATGAAAACAGACCAATTAGAGACGACACCATCACTCCACCCCACCCATTTGTTGGTGGAACTACGCACAACAAGAAAAGCCAGGGAAGAGCAACAAAACAAACAAAGGAGAAGACACTGCTGCTCTGCCTCTTGTCTTTCCTGATTTAAGTTGCAGAGTATCACATGTGCTTTTGGTGAAAGCCAAGTCACATCGAAAAAGAGCCAAACCATTCCATGCCAGGCCTGGATGGGCCGGGGGAATGTTGCAGCCTGCCAGGCTTTACTGAGGCTCTGCTTTCTTTAAAACTGACTTCAGCACTGACACTCACTCACTCACTCATCCTTCTTTCATTCTTTTTCTCCAGTCTCATTCACACTTTTGTCGCTGTGGCTCATTTTTTCACTTCTTCCTTAAGATTATTCGCTCCTCTGCACTGTCCTACCTACTGCCATCACTGACATTTTCTTGCTCTTTTTCCTTACTTACAAAGTCAGGGTCAAACAACTCTGTTGGAATTACATAATTATTATAATTATTTAATATATGGAATCACATTTTTGAGGGCCTAACATGCTTCCAAACGCAATTTTTCAGACAATATTGAAACATGGTGACCATTTACTACATTCTCAATTAGGCTGCACATTTTATTGTACTTCATAAGTTCTCAGACTCGAGGACTTTTACAGTTGGCCATGCAATGCAGTGTCGACTTTGTGTAATACCGGTTGAATGCTGATTGCACCTTTGATTATAAATAGTGTTTTTCTCCTGCTTAATTGTTGGAAAAGTAATGCTCAAAAGTCTTTTGTGAGAGTTTGACCTAATTTAATCTTTGCTTACTTTCACTTTAGCAATATTTTTCACTTGTTTGGTGACAGTACGCTGACGTAATTACAGTTAAACGTATAATACTAAATGTGATTGCAGTGTTCAGCAGTGAATGATGAGATCTAAATAAAGAGAGCAGGTGAATGAAGTGCTCCTCCAGGGTCCCAGAATGCACTTCAGCCAGATCACACTCTGCCTCACTGCACCGCCTCTATCCCTGTGCCATGATCTGGACTCTACTTAGACTGGACCTCACATTCCATCACTCTAAGTAGTTACACACACACACACACACACACACACACACACACACACACACACACACACACACACACACACACACACACACACACACACACACACACACACACACACACACACACACACACACACACACACACACACACACACAGAGAGAGAGAGAGAGAGTTATGGCCTGTTGGCTCGGTTCTGGCCTGGTTCTTTGGCAAGAGTGTGTCTGCTAGGCTTGTATCCCAGTCAACCCCCGATGGGTTGTACGTGTGTGTGTGTGTGTGTGTGTGTGTGTGTGTGTGTGTGTGTGTGTGTGTGTGTGTGTGTGTGTGTGTGTGTGTGTGTGTGTGTGTGTGTGTGTGTGTGTGTGTGTGTGTGTGTGTGCGTGTTATTACTTCTCAGTCTGCTTCCCCACTTGGCTCACCTGATGCTGATGGCAAGAATGGAAGGACAGGAGGAAAAGAAAATATGAGTTGGGCAGTTGGATGTGTTTCCAGACCTGAGGTCTTAGAGTAGGTCTCTCTCTCTCTCTACCTCCCTCCCTCACACATACACTCACAGACACACATGTACACCCTTTGTCATCTTTAGAGAGTTGGATGTGCCCAGTACTCTCCCACTCCAGACCAATTTATCGCCTCCTCTGCTCCCGTGTTCAGAACCACTCTCTCTCTAAGCAGTAGCTCACTTCCCATATTTATCACTCTCCCTTCCCCCGGGGTCTCTGAGCACCAAAACGTGATCCACTGGGTGTGTGTGTGTGTGTGTGTGTGTGTGTGTGTGTGTGTGTGTGTGTGTGTGTGTGTGTGTGTGTGTGTGTGTGTGTGTGTGTGTGTGTGTGTGAGCAAGAGAGATTAAGTGGAAAAAAGCATGAGAGAAAGGAAGACGGATAAATACAAAGCAAGACATAGAGGCCTCTAGTTTTATAGCATGTAGTATATGTGCAGCCAGAAAAAAAGTAGCATCTACGTTATGTGCTCTGCATTCTGTGTAATTTAAGTGTCGAAGTAAAATAACAAAACCCAGACTTTTTAACACAGGCTTTAATACCATTTCAAACTTCCTTAAAATGGCTAGCCAGCTCTATAGCATAGGAGTGCAATAGGATGGTCAGAGCGACAGCCATTTTTATTTGTACCGTTGCCATTGCAATAATTGAAATTATCGTTAGTATAAACCAAGTAGCGGTAAGTCACACTGAGGTAAGGTTTTTCAGTAACAAGCATTGGATTTGTAATGAAAGCCAGCTTAGAGATACAGAGTTATTAAAGGTAGGGTAGGTAAGTTTGAGAAACCAGCTCGAGATCGCTAGAATTTGAAAATACACAACCGGAGAAAATCTGCCACTTCCTTATAGAGCCCCTCCTCCAACACACACGAACATGACCAATGAGGGCACGAGATAAGTTTGTGCACAGATGGAAGGCTGACAGGCAGGTAGGCCATCCAGTTATTTTATTTATTTGTCAAAACCGTCGGTGAAATATAAAACTAATATTTTAATGGTGTGAAACATGAGATTTGGTGAATACAGAGTGATCAACACGACCTTCCGGTTTCGCTATGAGTGGTCGCATTTTCGAGAGCTCCCGCTTTGGAGGTTATTCCTCACGATTTTTTACATATTTCATCCTCCTGACAATATGGATTATGGACTCCTACCTCAACTCATCAATGAGGCAACATCACTTAGAGAAGGAGAGTAGTGAAAGCAGGGATAAAATGAACCACAATGACTTTTACCTTCTCAACGGCTGGGAAAGGAAACACCTCGCTTTTGGAAGTGCAAGCATTCATGCATTATTAACTGCAAACCCGACGCGAAAGTACTTACCCCCGTCAGGCAAACTAGACCGAAGAAGTATGATCGTCTTGGTCTTATTGTTAGCGGGAGACATCCATCTGAATCCGGGCCCGGTGCAGACAAGAAGCCATTCCTGCAGGCTCGAGGAGCTAGCATCACAACTAGCATCACAACTAGCATCTCTTCCGCTACAGCAACAACTACGCGACGACAACAGAGACCATGGAGACAGCGGAGACCGAGGAATCAACGGAGACTTCGACATTCCCCCGGGGACGCCTCGGCAGACAGACACGCATGAGGCAGTGACGAGAGGAAGAGAACCGAGATCCGAGGGAACAAATATCCACCATGTTGTTAGCCACCCTGCTAGCATATCGACGGCTAAAGCTACAACGGAGCCTCCCTCCCCCCACCACCCCACCGCTCCAAGCACCACGGCAGGCTGCAAGCCGTTTGCTGTAACGGACAAAGACAAATATCTTCAAGCTGACGACATTATGCATTTAAACAACAAAAATGGACTACATATTTTTCATCTGAACACTAACAGCCTGAGACACAAACTGGCTGAACTCAGGCAACTGTTCATGAACGGTAAGGCAAGCATATTATGCTTTTCTGAGACCAAATTGGACAATTCCATTACAGATTCAGAGATTGAAATTGAAGATTATCTTGTAGTGAGAAGGGACAGGAACGTGAATGGAGGTGGTGTCT